TTCCACTTGGTTCTTGGGTGGCCCCTAACTAGAGGACCAGTGCTTCATTCATAATCATTAAAGAGAGACATGGAGCATTCAGAGGTCCCCCAGACAGGCGGGATTGTGGTAAAATATTTTTAAAACGAAGTTTCACAGGACTAGTTCAGGGAACTGAGCAAAGAGAAAACCAGAGAAGACAGTGGGCACTAGAGACACAGAATGAGGTCCCAGTGCTGGTCATCTCCACCAAGAGGGAACAAGAAGACATGGCAATGACGCCGTCTGTTCAGAGACAGAAGAAGGGGAAGGTGCCCAGGCAGACTGTTAAATACGGGTGACTCTTCAACAACACAGATTTGAATTGTACAGATCCACCTATATGTGGATTTTCTTCTGCCTCTGCCACCCTGAGACAGCAAGACCAATCCCTCCTTCTCCTCCTCTTCCTCCTTCTCAGTCTACTCAGCGTGAAGACAAGGATGAAAACCTTTAGGATGATGCACTTCCACTTAATAGTAAATATATTTTTTTCCTTCCTTATGATGTTCTTAACGTTTTTCTCCAGGTTACTGTATTGTAAGAATACAGTATATAATACATATATAAAATATGTGTGAATGGACTGTTTATGTTATCAGTAAGGCTTCTGGTCAACAGTAGGCTATTAACAGTTAAGTTTTGGAGAAGTCGAAAGTTATATATGGATTTTCGGCTGTGTGGAAGGATTAACTCTATTGGAATGAGGCACGATAAAAGGAGTCTGTGAGATCACCTCTGGAGGTCACCTCCTCACCCGTCCTTCCTGTTCTCATGGTTTGGTTCTGCAGTCGCAGCCCTTTGCTCATCCTTTATTCCACCATTGCCACCACTGTCATTGTTGTACACACTCATTGACAAGGGCTTGGCTTTTCCTTGTAAGAGCTGGAGGTGTTTGGGGAAGTGCCTCTGACAAGCTCTTCCCTAGCCGTGGAGGATCATCTCATACCTCCATCCCATCACATTCCCTGTGCACAGCCCATCTGTTCTCTAAGCCTGGCTTGTGCAGTCTCCCCCTCCTCCCAGTTCCCGCATCATAGTTATCTTTCCCTACAGCCTTAGCAGTTTGGATCTTGAACTGTAATTCTCTCAGCCCGTGTCTTCTCTTTCCTGGGAAAACTGCACCGGGTAGGTTAGAACTTCCCATCTCCATCGTGTCCAGCATATTAGGTAATAAATACATCCTGCTCCAAGTACAAGTAGAGTCCTAGATTTGCCTTTGCAAATGAGAATGTCAACTTTCTGTGCCATCTCAAATAGCAAATTTGGGATGCTTAAAGGCAGAGCACATCTTTGCAGTGATGTGAATTTGAATTAGGGTCGGGCGCATTTGGTTCAGCAGATAGCGAACTCATCCCTGAAAACTGTTTAGCTACCTTAACTAGCAACATTTACAACATTTACCTCTCAACAAATAGTAATATTTATCTCCACACATGGTAAAAGGACATTCTTTAGTATGACGGAGTTAGAAAGGGGATTTAAACATGCCAGCATAACATTTATTTCCTGTTAATCACACCTGTGAGCACTGCGAGGCCAACATTTGCATGTGATTGGATTATGGCACCAACAGAGAATTTTATAGCTTCACACTTATTTTTGTCCCCTTTTTTCAACTCGGGTCCGGTGAACCCAGAGAAGAAGGTCTAGGTTAAGAAAAAAATCCAAGCAAACAGAATACTGGCTTTTAAAGCATTTAATGAGAAATCATAAACAAGTGATTTTATTTTCAAAAGAATAAATTTACATATGGTACATAAGCGAGACAGCTGAGAGCTTCCAAAATAGAAACCTGGAGCATATGGCACCGAAACGCCACATGCTCGGATTACACTGGAAGCACGAGTTGCCTGTTTGGGTGAGAAAATCCCGTGTTACAGTGAGACCGTCGGGCATGTTGTGGAGTGATTTCAGCCACTGCCATTCAAGGGATTTTAGGTCAGGAGTGCCTTCTATGTTTTTATCTTCCGCGTAGTCTGTGATGGCGCAGGTCTGAGCAAAACTGGCATGAAAGCTGTCTAGAATGAAGGTTGCAGGATGGATGCCGGTGCCCAAAGTGGAAGTAGGTTGGGGGCAGGATGGAAATAATTAGGGAAAGGGCACGTCATTGTACCTGGCTTCTGGAGGGGCCAATAATCCTGAGGGCTTGGTGTCTGTGTCACAGTTCCCAAAAGCAAGGTTGGCCAGACCACTGGTTCTAGGCTTACATTGTGATGAGCTCGACTTTCAAATTCTTAAATCACCAGGACTGCAGATCAAGAGGGGGGCTTCAGACCAAGACTGAAGCTAAACCAGCAGGGGGCAGTCTTTCCCCGGAGAGAAAAATCCATGTCTTGAGAGGCGGTGCAAGGCATACTCCGAAGGGGCACGCAATGGTGTGCAAGTAGGCTATGGGAGAACTTAAGGGAGTGAAGTGCTGTGTGAGAAGTGAAAAGAAGAGGGCTGGCAAAGCAAGGGTTTGAACCAGGTGATGACTTCTTTCCATCAGTTAGTTGCTGCTTGATTCTGTGCCACAGAGCAGCAGCGTTCAAAAACTAAGCTTGGCCTCACCAAGATGTACTTTTTATTCTCCAGTTTCTGCAATCAAATACTTTAAAAAGTGACCATGACAAATCCTTAGGTCATTCTTTAATGTTCTGTGGCTAATATATTCATCCTTAATCCAAATTAGGTAAATACAATCTTAAATACATCAATACAGCTGATCGAGCTTCTTATTTTGGGGACTTTTAAAAGTAAAAATTATATATGCATACATATATATGTTTATGAAACGCAGACACCCACTGCTGTGACAATAATTACAGCCCCTGTTTTTAAAAGATACAAATGGGAAAAGCTAATACTTCTGTCAGTTGGCTTCAGACAAATGAACTAAAATCATTTTGTGCAAATATCCAATGTTGCGATCTCTGGTTTGGCAGCTGGGGGGATGGAAGTACAGCAGACTGCCTCGTCCAAGCAACAGCCGCTACATGCAGAGCAGATCCCGGCTGGGAGTGCCGGTGAACCAGGCTCCCCCTAGTCCTGGTGCTGCAAATGCTGCTCAGAGTCTGATGTGAATCCAGGCAGGTCATTTTGATCCCTGACTTCTAACTATGATATTAATAAATGAGAGAAGAATTTTAAGAGAAAACAGGGTATTTTACTAAAAATTATTCTTTTCCAGGAATTGGAGCAATAAGTCAAATCCCAAAGATCATGCCAACAATAAGGCCATGGAACATATTTGAAATCAGGAAAAATGTAGCTTTCAATTTTAACACTGGACACAGAGGTAAGAACCTCTGTAACTTTTAAGGAGGCTAATTTTTCCCAAAGTGTGTGCGCATGGTGATGATGTGTTAGGCTCACAAAACATTGGCTTCGGTGGTTCAGGCACTATACCTCAATAGATACTTTCTCAAGTATATATTTACACTAACTTTTAAGAAAGTTGTTGACACCTGTTCTTTATTCTTAAGAACTGAAGAGGAGCCTGGGAAGGCCACTCTCTGAGGTGTCTGCATAATAATCACTTTCCTAAGTCTAAGAAGGACTCACCCTAGCTTTAGTGGGTGTTTTATTTGGTTGGCTTTTTTTCCCAAGAGAAGCTAAAGTTGTTCTTGCATTAATCATCTTTAAAATTGCCAAGAGATAAGAGGTGGGAAGAGAGAAGACGGAAGGGGAGCCTGATTCTGGATTGACAGAAAGTAATTGAGAAAGGGAGGAGGGACATCAGGGAGGCCTTGGCAGGATCAGGCAATGTCAGGAAGGCCTGTCCCTGTCAGGCTCCAGGAAGGATTGGGTTCATCTGTTCTTGTATTGATCCATTTTCCTAGGCAAATGCCAGTGCCTCCAAGTTTATATGAAAGCAAAAAAGGCTGAAGAGGCTGGGCGCGGTGGCTCACGCCTGTGATCCTAGCACTCTGGGAGGCCGAGGCAGGTGGATCGCTCAATGTCAGGAGTTCTAGACCAGCCTGAGCAAGAGTGAGACCCCGTCTCTACCAAAAAATAGAAAGAAATTAGCTGGACAACTAAAAATATATATATAAAAAAATTAGCTGGGCATGGTGGCGCATGCCTGTAGTCCCAGCTACTCAGGAGGCTGAGGCAGGAGGATTGCTTGAGCCCAGGAGTTTGAGGTTGCTGTGAGCTAGGCTGACGCTACGGGACTCACTCTAGCCTGGGCAACAAAGCGAGACTCTGTCTCAAAAAAAAAAAGGCTGAAGATGGGCAGAGGGGTCCCAGATGTGTCCACTTGTGCTGAAGACTAACCCCCACCTGCCTGGTGGAGTGGAAGCAGCCGGTTTGTTTCCTGGCTCAGAAGCGCGTAGTAATGGCACCTGGAATTCTGTAAAATGTATCAACAAGGAAGAGCAGGCCCCTGTTTCAACGTGACCACCAAAAGGAGACCAGGACTCTGAAAGAAAAAGCAGGTTCTTCCCCATGACCTCATGGCTCTGCCACTGCCTTTAATCTTTTCACAGCAAGCTTGATTTCAGAATGTTCTTACCGCCCAAGCAGGCACAGTATAATTAGATCATAACTACAAGGAAGTCACCCTGTCCAAGGAATGCAGTTTTATACGGCACCACCCTTTCTCCCGGACCAAAGTCCCCATTTTGGAAATGAGATTCAGGGCTGGGCAAGGTCATAACTGAGAAAAGCTCCTCCTCCAGCCTTGCAGATCACCCATCTCTGCTGTCTCTCTAGAATCCAGCGGGGCTCAGAGCCATTCAAAGCCAGGCCACGATTCCTGCCAGCTCATGACTAGGTCCCAAGTCCAGATAACAGAATGGGGTGGGGGGAGCAGTCCTTAAAGATCTTAATTGTTTTGTTTTTTTTTTTTTTTACCTGGGTTCAATTGTAGCATCACAATGTGACTTAAGATTTTTTTTTTTTTTTTTTTTAAGAGAAACGACTTGTCAAGACTTGCCCACCAACAACTTTTTTTTTGGCTCTCAGGTCCAGTGGGCTCATTTCCAACTGTTTGAGACTCATGGTAATCCCAAAAATCTGTGCAGCATCGGCACAAAGGTTGTCGCACAGATGCCAACAGATGTGTAGGTAACAAACTTGTAAGGCACTTCGATCTCCAGTCTCCGCCTGGCCTCCTTGTTCCTCGTGACCACCTTGAACCACGTGTATAATACTTGCAGTGAGAGATTCTGTACAAGTTGACGAACCAAGAGGATCAACACAATTCCCACCACAAATTTGGTCAGACCCAAAACTAACACGTCAGTAGTGAGTGGTGGGATGCTCTGAATAACAGGGAGCGATTCAGCGGGCTTGGACGCGAGCTGGAAGAAATGGTTGATCCAGAATCCTATAGTCACCCCTGCCCCGGCAGCCAGAATGGTGGTGGTGTCCGCTCTGGTTGGGCTGTAGTAATCAGACACGGGGTAATTGTAACACAGGAAGAATGGCACGACTATGACGCACACAGGCAAGAGGGGACTGGCCGAGTCCAGGCAGTCGATGAAGGTCCAGGCAGGGTAGGTGAGGACAATGAGGAGCGCGGTGATCAGGACGCCACCCAGCACATCCTTTGAGAAGGAGAGAAAAGAATAGTGTGAGCCAACGAGTGCTTCCTTATCTATACGTAAAATGTTGAGTCACATATGGTTGATTTGATATTTAAAATATGATTTTTGCATTGTTTCATTTTATAGTACATGTTCAAAGAAAGCTTAAAGCTGTAAAAAAAATTAAAATGAAAATAGGAGAAGATGCACACAACAATCATGCTATATATTTTCTTCCAGTTTTCCCAACTTTTGGCATAAATTCTATATTTGCTTTCTCTTTTTAGAGACAGGGTCTTGCTCTGTCACCCAGACTGGAATGCAGGGGCCCAATCAGAGCTCACTGTAACCTTGAACTCCTGGGCTCCAGTGATCTTTCTGCCTCTCAGCCTCCCGAGTAGCTGGGACTACAGGTGCCAGCCACCATGCCCAGCTAATGTTGTTATTCTTTTGTAGAGACAGGGTCACACTGTGTTGCCCAGACTGGTCTTGAACTCCTGGCCTCAAGCAGTCATCCCTCCTTGGCCTCTCAAAGTGCTGGGATTACAGGCGTGAGCCACTATGCCTGGCCTCTACATTTCTTTTCTTAAGGAATAGCTATAATCTCATTGTTCCTTCAGTCTTATTTTATTACATCAATATTGTAAGTATTTAAATGCTTATATCACAAGTATTGTCGCCGTATTCACAAAGGCGGCGCTGTCCTCTCTTGGCAGGCAGGGGTTGGGGGCGGTAGGCTGGCTGGAGGGGAAGCCATATTCACAGCGAGCAGATCATTGTTCTTTAGAGGATATTCATTTGGGGAGGTTTGAGGAGAAACATTTGGGACGTGGTGGTATCAAAGCTTCACCATTTCAGCCTTGGCACTATCACTCTATCCTCAGAGACAAGATTTCAAACAGTGTGCATAAAATTTCATTGAGCAGATGTACCAAGCTTTATTTAATTAATCCCATTCTTTGGAACAGTGATTTTCTTTCTTCCCTTCTCCTCCTCCCTTCCTTCCCTTCTTAAAATATCTTTAACTCCTTGATGCCACACATTTTCTTTTCCTTTTAGTCTTCTTATTGCCAAATTTATTAAAAGGTGTAATTTTAATGTAATTAATAGATCCATAGTTCCACTACCCAGAGTTAAACACTGTCTATACTTTGGCATGTTTCCTTCCTCTCTTTTCCCATATGTATATATTAGAATTCTAAAGCTTGGTCTTTCTTTTTTTAATAACTTCATTATTTATTTCTCTTGCTTAATGTCTAATAAATGACATCTGATTTGGGTAAACGATGGGTGAGAATTAGATCTCAGAAATAGTCACTAAGGCAACGGCAAGTTTCACAGAGTAGCAGGCATCCATCCATTCTTCCAGTGACCATGCGTGAGTGCCTGCTGTATGCCAGACACAGTGCTAGAGGGTCCAGTGTGAACCAAACACAATCCCCACCTATGCAGCAGACCTTGCAGTCTAGTGAGAGACAGACAATAACTTACTTAAGAGGACAAGAGGCCAGTCAGTGCGTGGATCTTGGGGCTGGGAAGGAGAGAGTAAGCACAGGCAGGAGTAAACACAGGGCTGTACCGCCCAATCCACTCCATAAGGAAGATGTCCTGGGAGCAACGTGAAGCCCCTGAAGTGGCTCTCAGTGGGTAACAACATGACTAGAGACCTTCTCTTTTAGAAGGTGGTTTGACTGCAGTGCGAAGAGGTGAGGAGCCTCCCTGTCTCCCTGGGGGCAGCCTCTCACCTCCTGTGCCATGCTTCCCCTCCATTATGCCCTCAGGCTCCACATCTCCATGGCCTCCCATGGCCTCCCTCCCCGTGGTTCATTTTCTTGCACCTAAGAATATGGATGGATGTTGTCTTGATTTTGGAAAAAAGAAACATCCTTCATTTAAGTTTCCTGATTGCCAAAATTAAGCCAAACCCTCTGATTGAATTTTTTACACCTGTTGCCTCCAGTTTCTCAACTTGACGTACAGCTGCTGCCTAAGCTCCTGACTTAGATGATACACTACTCTCAAAGGCCACTAACTAGACGTTTGTTGGTTTCTTCTTTAGCATCTATGTCTTCCGACCAACAGCCTCATATTTCTCCTTGGGGACTCATGAGGTTCTGGGAAATTATGGAGTTGAAGCACATGACCTATGTAGGCCAATCAATGCACTGGACCCCCCTACAACAGTGCAGGGGTGGTCATGTGACCCAGCCAGTCAAATCGGAATGAATTATAGCGCTTTTATTTGGAATTCTCAGAGAGATATGTTTTCTCTTTCTCTGAACACTGTGCCCTGGAGATTAAAACCCTTTACTTAGCAGACCTTTAATATTCAGCTTTTATTAACGTTACCCTGCACTATCCCGGTTCTTCTGTGATCTGGTAAGAATTCTCTTTCTTGGTTTCTTCCTTTAGATCTTCCTCTTTCCATATCCTAAGCATGGGGGTTTCCACAGATTCTATCTTCAAGCCTTACATATTTTCTCTTTTGAAGAGTTCGCGTAGGTCCATGGCTTTATCTCTCCATTCTCTATCTGTGCGACTCTCAAATCTGTGTCCTCTCAAACTCTAGGCCTGTATTTCTTTTTATTTTTTTTATTTCAGAATATTACGGGGGTACAAATGCTTTGGTTATATAAATTGCCTTTACACTGCCCGAGTTAGAGCTACAAGTGTCCAGATAGCGCGCGCTGCACCCATTAGGTATGAATTTACCCATCCCCTCATCCCCCCTCCCCGACACCCTATTAATGTTACTTCCCATATGTGCACATAAGTGTTGATCAATTAATACATTCATCCGGATGTCCTGTCAGCCCCCTGAAACCAACTTGTCTAAAATGAAAATTACTAACAACCAAAGAGAAAAATGGGTAAAGGAAATGAGTAGTTCATACAAAAGGAAACATAAAGATCTTTTAAATATAAGAAAATATCCCTTAAGTTACTCATAAGGTGTGAAAATTAAACCATACTGAGGAGAAATTGAAATGTATGTCCCCACAAAAATCAGTACTCATGCATGTTTATAGCAGTTCTATTAATAATCACCCCAAGCGGGAACCAGCCCCAATGTCATTCAGTGGATGAAGGGGTAAATAAACTGTGGAACACTCAGACAATGGAATACTTCTCAAAAGCAAAAAGCAACTACTGATGAATTCAACAACTTGGACAAAACCTCCAGGAAATTATGCTGACCGGGAAAAGCCAAGCTCCAAGGGTTACATACTGTATGGGTCGATTTACATGACATTCTAAGATAAAACCATAGTGACTGAGAATTGATTAGTGGTTGCCTAGGGGGTCTAGAGGTGAGGAGAGGGTGTGACCACAGAGGGCTGGCATGAGGGACTTTTGGGGGTGATGCAACTGCTCTGTAATGTGGTGGTTACTCAACTCTATACATGTGTTCAAATTCATAGAATTTTATGACAAAAATAAAGTCAATCTTACTGTTAATTTAAAAAATATAATGCATTTCAAACAAATAAACAAAAATATGAAAGAATGCCCTTTGCTGTCTATAAAGCAGGCACTGGACTCCTAGCGAGGTTCCCAGAATGCCGGCTCCCTACCTCCACCTTCCACAAAAACTATGCAGAGAATCTGCTCCTCACATATCCCTGCTGACAAAAATCCAAAGGTTTAACATTCTGCTAATGAAACTGCAGGGGGAAAGGAGGATTCATCCTCATTAATCATATGATTGCAAAATGGTGCAACCTTTATGGGGAGGAACTTGTCAATAGCTTTAAAAATTACATATTTATTTGTCCTCTGACCCAACGATCTCACTCTGGGACTTGACCTTAGGGATGTAACTGCCCATGTCTGAAATGAGGTTTTTACAAGTTATCCATTGTCCTATTGTTTGTCATAGCAAGACACTGGAAATGACCCAAGTTCCATCTACAGAGGACCAGTTAAATTTGACTACGATCAAGTCACACCATGAAATATAATACTATGCAGCTGCAAAAAGAATGAGGAAGCTCCAGTACGAAATTTTAAAAAGGTGCAGAACATTGCATACAGTATCATTTAGTATGTTACCATTTCTGTTTTAAAACCTGGGGGAATCTATAGATACATTTTTACCCGAATACACAAAGAGGTGCACTTGGATAACTGGGGCACGCAGTTAGGAAGGAGACTTTTCACAAGATACCCTGTGTACCTTTTGAATTTTGTATCATGTGAATATACTACCTCCTTAAAAAGAAAGTGAAATGAAATTCAGTCTCTCCTTCCAAACAGTGTCTGCCTTTCAACTTCCTTATGAGTGGGAATCTCAGGACCCTTGCTGTGTCCTCTGCATGGGATGGTGTGATAGAAAGTCACCTGCTGAAGTCTGAGGGTAGTTTGTTTATGTGTTTTTAAAGGAACAAGAATTTTGAGGGAAGAAGCGAAGCCAGGCACAATAGCTTGACCGCAAGCCACAAGCAAGCCTCTCTTCTCTCATGGGGAAGAGAAGATCCTGCCACTCAGGCTGTCTCCCAGGCAGCTCCACTGGACTCATGTCTGAGCCCTAAGGAAGTTAGGGAAGGTGAAAGAGTCATTTTACCTAAATCTATAAAGCACTGAGCTAAAGAATGTTGCTTTGGAGGCAGAGGAACTTCCAAAGGGAAGATTCCATCTTCCTCATACCTCTAGGCCACAAAGTCCTGATGGCTATTTCAATGACAGATGTCTTCAAATTTTAGTGTGCACTGGATTTCCTAAGAAGATTATTAAAATACACATTCAGAGTACTGCCCTCTGATTCTGACCCGAAGTGTGGTCCAGGAATCTGCATTTTAACACTCCAAAGTAATTCTAATGTGACAAATCTAAATAGAAAACTGTGACAAATACTAGCCTAGAGGTTTATTGTCAAAGTCCTCCAGGATATGGGTTTCCTCAACCTATCATTCCAGGTTTTCCCTCACTGTCACATTTGAGTTTTCCACTCCACTCAGATAGGTCTACTTGCTTTTCCCAAACATGCCTGATACAATTTCATCATCATAATTTTGTATTCT